TACCAATCCATCTACATACTCTACTGTTTGACCTCTGGTGTTATAAACAGTAAATCCAACACTGGACATGTTTCTCCTGAAATAAGAGACAAACATTTAGTCGACAAGAGGCCACTCATACGTTACATGGAGCAAACATCGTAATAAGCGTCAGACTTTACAATGGCATAAGTGGACTTAACATCGGACGGTACTTTGCACTCCTCTAAAGCAACGCTCTGTGAATTGGCTTTAGGGTTCATCATACACAATCGTAATTGTTTATCACTAAACGAATTGAAATGAAAGGGTGCTTAATTTTACAGTTTTACAATACCCCTCCCCCCCCACAACTATCCTGATGCTGGATTACGAATTTTTTGTAACTTCTCGAGTACAGGTGTACAGCTAGGCCTATTTATTTTGGGTTGATTACTCTTTATGTTTAAGTTTTATTTATTTTATTTTATTAATATTATGTTCAAGTTATGCTTCTTTTTAATGTGTTAAATACTTTAACTAAACTTGTTTTCGTACGTTTTTTTTTAACTTTTCATCAGAATTGTAGGCTACGTGTTGTTTTGCTTTGATTTGCAGATATTAAATCAAAATACGTTTATTAAAGTTTTAAATATATATTTTTACACTAGGCTACATACTATCTTTCATAATGTTTTTACCGTCTTGTAAGTCAACAGTAAAAGTGTAAATGTATATTTCAAGTGTACATATTAAATACATATTATTATTGTATACATTTTTCCAACGAGACTTCATAAACCAGATTTTGATGTGGCTTTGATTACATCAATTGTTCTACATATAGTCAATTGTACATATACAATTGTAGTTAATATAGTCTAAAGTTTTGTCCTGTTTCACTCTATAACCTAACACCATAGGATGTGAATGTATAACATAGTCAATCTAGTAACCAAAGTCAATGGAGGGTGTTATGGGCTACCGCAAGGTTGTACTGTTGGTCCCTTTGTATTTGCCCGTGGCGTCGCGCTGTCTGCCAGTGTAGAGTACATCGTCAGCTGTGGCGAGGACACAAATACACGTCTTTGCGCCGCGCTCTGTTGTTATATTTAGACCCGTGTGACAATTAGCGTAGGAGTTAGGGGCGAGTACAACTTGGAGCGAGTTGTGATGGACTAATTAACGGATATTAGGGGAACTGACGTAAGTTTATGTTATTTGAGGATTCAATGAGGAGTCAAACTAAGATTTTTAAGTGAGGTTGGTAAGCCCCTGTGTGGTATGGAGGTACTTTGCTCGAAATCGAGCACTGTTCTAGCACCTTCCTCTCAAGTCACTTTTGGTAGTCTTGCACAATATCGAGGCACTTTGCTTGAAATCTATCGCGGTTATAGCAACTTCCTCCCAAGAAATATGGTGTTTAAAAATAGGTACTTTGCTCAAAACCATGCTCCATTTTTGCAATGTGCTATCAACTTTAGCGTAACCCTTTCATAATCAGAGTTATAGATTTTGAATATCCAAACTAATTAATTACGAACGTACGTAGCTACGACGGGGGTATTTACGTAACGAACGTTACGTACACATCCACGTGTGATCGTATCCTATGTACCGTAACCTTCGATTGTCAAGTATTTTTGTGAAAAAGTATTAAACAGTAAAAAAACATATTTTAATTTATTTTGATGTGTATAAAATAAATTTATTGTAATAAAACAATGATAGGAGACAGTCAATAGAATGATATTTCAAAACATTTAAATTTTTCTCACCTTACACTACATAACCATTTACTACAAGACTGAATGAGGAAGCTTTCTTTATTTCAATAGATCGAAATATTATTTTGTACCTTTATATAAAGAATATACTATGCTGTAGGTCAAGTAATAGTCAGGAATAAAAAGGTAAACAGATTCCTGTGAATACTGTATTTACTATGTTACCATGGCTACGATTCCGACCAGTCATCATCAGCCTAATTGGAGACTACTTGGTTAGAAGTCTGGAAACATATTTTACATTTACCGTCTTGTATCAGGCATATATAGTGCAGATACATAGGAAAGTATTGTATTCACATAGTTGTTTGCAGTAACCCACATTAAACGAGTTGATGGTTTAGATAGGGGTTTTACATTCGTATTCAAAATGGTAAACAATACATCATGACGTATAACACATTGCGATAATTGTGCTCGATTTCGAGCAAACACTACTAACACAATCACACATGGGATGAAAGGTGTTGGTACGTCAGTTGCTCAACATTGGGTTCGCGACCCGCAACACAGTATATTAATGGTCCAAGGCTAATGGTTTTAGGAAATGGACAGATTGCTCGGAAATGGACCGCCCATCTCGTTTGCCTAACATCAACTTTTCATTTCGTCCGACCGTACCATGTCCGACGTTGCAACGCGGCTGTTGTGGCGCTGAGTCGCATTTGATGACGCGTCTTTATTTTATAATTTTGTTTTTTAGACGCCCGTTTAAAATATTTGTACATATAGTCATTAGTCTATTCATACCGACATTTTAATGATTGCATAGTTTTTTGTTGCGTTAACATTATTATTTTTGTCTGTATTCACCTTTGTTTTCCAAGTTAATACTGTCGTATTTTGTATGTCTCTGTGTATAAAAGTACAAAGTGTTAAAGCTGTACAACATTCAATTACAGTATATTGGATAATTTCTAACAATAATTGATCTTGGTAACAATACAAAGGTGAACAATGTATAACAATCGTTCTATGGAATCATGTTTATGTATTAAAAAAATAATTGAAAAACGCTCTTGAGTAGTTAATTTGAGGATTTCTTCAATTTGTTTTGATTTTCTGTTTGTATTTAGTTTTTATTTAGCCACCATGGAAGCCCATAAGACCTATGTTATTTTTATTTTTTAAATTCATTTTTGTGCTTATTTTTAATCCATTTTAATATATAAAAGGATTCTTCACATCTACAGGAAAATATATTTCTAACAGTTGCGTAGATTTGTTGTGTCATGTTTACGAGCTGAGAAAACAGGTTTTCAAGAAACATGTTTGCCTATACATAGTAAGCAATTGGCAACGATTAAAATCCCTGATATGAAAATAATTGTAGAATAAATGGTTGAGATAACAACCGTTATTAGATATGTCTGCTGATTTGAATTTCACTCTCAATATTTCTTGTAACAAACTTTTATAGGCCACTTTTCGATAGGCAATCAAAATTGAGCCAGTGTTTTCAGACTATAAAATAAATAAAAACTATGTTTTCCAAAATTAAGTTATGTTACTTCCATTCAGACTTTGAAAAATAATTTACTAAGTACAGTTGTTAGAACGACACGGTATTGTTTTGGGTGAAAATAAACTATTTTTTATTCTAAAACAGCCTACGACAATCTAATTAACAGTACTGTAATTTCAAAATTGCCTTATTTTCATTGACGAGGCGTTTCACTTCCGACAGAGGAAATGTTATAGCAGATTGAATATGCTCTAATATCACGTTTCGGAAATGGAAGTTTTTAATGCACAAGAACCCCCCCCCCCCCCCCCCCACGGCGGCTTTGTCAAACTTTTCATATCTCCAACAAGCCGATCGCCTTTTAATTTTACTTACCCTCTTAAACGTCGTAAGCTTCCGACATCCGGTGCCGGAAATCTTTTCCGTTGCTCTCTTCCCGTTCTTTGGGACGTTTTTTGTTGAATTATTTTAACTTGGTGTATTTTAAAAGAATTTGTGTTAGGCTGACAGTACTATTGGTCTTATTTCGGAAGATTTTTTTCTTGTAAATCGGTAAACTTTATATTTTTAATTTGTTTCACAGTATTACCTAATTAGATTTACAATAGTTATGATTAATTTAAACCTAAGGATGCGCCGCTACAAAAGAAAACAGCTAGATAGAAAAAAAACACATAAATGTTTGGGGAAATTGACGGAGCCGTCTCTAAAAAAATCGTAAAAAAACTTGCAAAGAAGCTTACACACCCTGTATTATAATACTACGGGATAATGCATGGATCTAACATTAGTGATATGAGTAACTAAAATGATAAGTATAAGCTACTCTGAGGTATAAGCAAACATTCCAAATACATTTTGAAGATGTGGCCAGTGAAGTACAGTAATACTGCAGTTGAATTTATCTACCTACAAAGTGAGCTGGTAATCACAGATTTTAATCGAATACGGTAACTTTTTAAATAAACCAAATTTATAGCGCAACTATGGTAAACTAATCTAGGCATTAATTGCATGTCAAGTTATGTACTGCACCAAATCCCTATGCCATATTATGTTATCTATACCTTGATAGATCGTGTGCTACATGAGAAAATCAAATTTTACCAGCTGCGCACGAATAGATCTTTCAACCATGTTCTGTTCAACAACAAATTGGCTACAGCTGATTCGGTTTTAAAAAGCCAATAGTGTTAATCCATAGAGTAATTTCAAAACTGTAGCACATATGAAATAACATATAATATGTAACGGATTAAAGAATGTCAACTCATCGGTGATATTACGTCTTTATTCGTGACTATTGTTCCATAATTCTTAAGTTTTTATATTAAACACTTGGTATTTTATTTCCATGTTGAAAGATGTAGTCAATTTAAATTGTCGTACATGAATTTAGCAATCGACAGTAAGCACTAAAACTTACTGATTCCTGTCTAATACGCAAATTTTTCAACAAAGCCAAATTGAAAGAAAAACGTGCTGTAAACTATATCATATTTTTCAGTCACTTCAATCATCATAGGGAGAAAGTTACATAAACCAAGAGAATAAATAAATCTTTACAGTAGCGCAGTTGTGAGTTGCTCCTTGAACTATGCTATTGAATTGCTTCTCATCCATATAGATGGGATGTCTACTTCAGTTACAAAATTAATTGGTAATATCACAGATGAAACAAGTGTTAATTTTTTTCTCGTAATACCCTAGGGACACTCAGTAGCGCCTTAATTGTTGCCCACGCCGCCTTGGTGTACCGATGTACTCATGTTTGTGTTTTGTTGTTGCAGGAGCTACTAAGGAGATTGGCACAGCTCTGACCAGGATCTGTCTGAGACATAAGGCGGTCGAGGCGAGAATCAAGACGTTTTCTAGGTTAGTACAGTGTTATTTAGTAGTTTAAATTATTTTATTGTGTTTTGTTGTTTTACTAGACCAAATATTGTGAACTACCATAGAATAAACATACTGTATGTATGGTACTATCGACTGTGGAGGATTTCAATGAAGTGGATGGACCTAATTTTATCTTTTCGAAAATTCACAAAATACTGTAACACCATAAGCACTTCCTGTTTAATTTATTGATCAGTATTCAATCTTACTCACTCATCCTTTTCATAAACATGTTAATCGCATTTTTTTTTTTTTTTTGTAAATAAAACTAAACCCTGGTCTTCCTGGTATATAATTCCAACCTATTGTTGGATTTAGATAGCATCATTCTGATTGATATGTCAAGGGTAAATTACATTATTGATCGTAATTGAATTCTGTCGGGATCGGACTAGTAACCTTCGAATTTGAGAGTGTGTTTTCTATTGAACTCCCTATTGAAAAAAAAATAATATGGCAGTCAACCTTTACGTATTGTTGCTGATATTTGTCACTGATTAAGTCTCTTTTAGATAAACATGCTAAGATTATTGTGTTGACCTCAACATGCATTTTTTTAAATATATTCTTTGACGAAATTGTGTTGAATGTAGACGTTAGTCATTTGTCAAAACCGAAGAACAGGCACATTTATGTTTCATCCCCCGTCCTCTTCTTTGCCGGTTTCCCACAACACAAATATTCTGAATAATATATCACTTCCGCTTCGCCGTTTCCGCGTTGAAATTTCCTTTTCTTGGCGAAATCGTAGTTTGTTCTTCGCAGTTTTCCTCGTTCAGGAAAATTCATTGGAAGTTAAGCCAGAGTTAGTTTACTAGCATTGACTATTGGCGATGAACTAAATGTACTTCGTAACTGTAGTTTGTTTTGTAATATTTTGCTGTCTGTATTGGGCGATGAAAGCAATACAACAAATGACTGAGTTAATACCGCATGTTTGTTTAATGGGCAGGGTTACGAAAGCAATTTTAGTAAATTTTCGTTATCTAACTTACGAAGATTACAGGCCTCTCGGCGTATGCAGGGATCTACTAAGCATTAGTTTAACTAAATAATTGATGTTTGAAACATAATTATCTATATTTTCTGATGACACATTTTACTAAAGTTTTAATATGTGCTGTAGGGTATTGACGTGCGATTTCGACAACTCTTTACGTACTCTAGACTAATTACCCCCCTTGTGACATCGTAGTCGTTGGTCAAAATAAACTCCAGCCAGCTAAGCATGAGGACTAACATTCATTAGGAAAGATTGAAATTCAGTCGATCGTCTGCTGTGGAAACAAATCGTTTAATGTTTGTTATAGTCGAATTAGTCGACTATTGGTTAGTCGAGTGATTTTTTGTGGTTGAAGCAGTAAGCACGTCCCTGTATGGCTAATGCAGCAGCTGTCCTATATTCCCGTGCAGTTGCAACATCGATTCGACCTATTTGCGCTCCACAGTCCCACCCAATTGTGTAGCTTAGTTGATAACTCGCTTATCCCTGTGAAAGCTCAAAGTTATTTTCTCTCGTTTGTAAAATTAAGAAAACACACTAAAAGCTCCAAGTACAAGTAACAAAGTTTGTAAATTAGAACTTAGAAACTACAATAATGCTTTAAAAGTGTTATTTCTCCGATTTCATTTCGTAATATCGATTGCAAATATTTAATTTTACTCTGTAAAAATTCAAGTGTGGCTTTCTATGTATTTTTTGTAGAACATTTTTGTATTTCTTTTAAGATCATATCTGAAAATTATTGTAAAACTGTTGTTAGTGAAAACAAACAATATGTGGCCTACATATTGTTGTACTAACAACCCTACTAACCAAACTACTGGTAAATAAACTGATAAAGGTTGCATAATTTGAAGTACATATTTGGCCAAGAAAATACTACCGTATTGGTTCTCCAACCTTTCGGTAAAAATGCCCATGGTTGGGAACCAGATGGTCAGTAGGGGATTGCCCAACTCCGCGCAGCGGTCAAATTTAATCCGAGGAAAAGTTTTATGGCCCCCGAAGGGTTCAGCCCAACTCCGCGCGGTGGTCACTTTTAGGGCCAATTCCAACTCCGCGCGGTGGCCACGGGCTTACCCCAACTCCGCGCGGTGGTCAGAAATCTGTCAAAACCGACTGCCCAACTCCGCGCAGTGGTCACTTCGGGTCCCTCGCGGCACATGCCCAACTCCGCGCAGTGGTCAATTTTGGCTCTCACAGCCCTGACGGCTGAGAGTTTGTGCTCTAAGTTTGAAATTATGATATATTTTCATCATTTATAAGAAAGAGAAAGTAAAAAGGTATATGCCTACCCAAAACAGGAGACGAAGCTTAAAAACCACTAATATAAGAAGTTTTAAAAAGCCCGTGAGAAAGAGTGACTGTAAATTTATATGTTCTGCAACCTCAGGGTTTAGGGTTAGTGCTTGGAACTCTCTTTAATTTCCAATTTCCTTGCTAATCTTTTAATTTGAAACTTTTTTTTATAATAAAGTTAGCCTTTGATTTTTTTTTTACTAAATAATTTTATATCGAATTTGGATAAGATTGTTCTAAAACAAAAGTCTTTACTTGAATCAAGATTTTAGGCTATATAAATTTTAACAGCTATGAGGCTACTCGATCCACCTCAGAAGTAGGCTAATGTTCTCAAATTGTCCAACACCTAAATAGGATAGTCTGTAATAATAAGATGGAGATTACCAAGTTTCTTCCAAGTTTCCACATTTCTTCTTGTTTAAATTCTTTGAAATAATTAGACTATTTTGGTTTAGCTTTTCACTTTTTACTAGAAAATATTATAATATAAAAATCACACAAATTTGTTTAAACTCTCACCCAGGCTAGTTCATGGTAGAAGAAGGAGGAAATTCAGTTGTTACCTAACACATGTTTTTCAGCAACAATGTATTCAGGTCTTCTATATCTTGAAGTTCACTGTTCACTTTTATAATCCACTTGCTAGGGGGGTTCCCGTGTGCATTTTATGTATAGAAAAACACACTGAGGGATCATGTAGGTACTATGTGGGTTATCATTTTTCACGTGGGTGCCAGCTTGGCAGAGTGGGCATAACCTCAGAATCCACAATTTTAAAAATGGCGGCGGCATTTATTACATGAAACTCATCGGGAGCTTATATCTCGAAAACGGTAATATATAGCGAGTTACTTTTATTACAATAAATGTTGCTTACACAATGAGGAACAACTTTTGTATTTACAAAAATGCCCTAAATATAACTATTTAGGAGTAGTTGAGCAATTTATGCTAATGTAACCTATAAAGTTTTACTCTGTTTGACAAAAACATTCTAATATCTAAAAAAAAAAAATAACTGTTCTTTTTAATTTGGCACATAGCACTAATTTCTCTTTACATCCAAGGTCTAAATACCCCCGCCACAGCAAACCTGCAGAATTAGCAAACATTTACCTGGCTGCATTTCTACTAAAATATTTAAATTGTCATATTTAACCTAAAAATTGTATCTCTGTTGCCAAAAAATCTAATAATTATAAAAAAGCTGTTATTTTGTAATGTGATACAAAGCAATAATTTTTCTTCTCATTTAAGGTAAAATACCTGCAAAAAGCATTCGAGAAGCTTCTGACAGATATATAAGTTATTAAAATGATACAAAATATTTTTAAACTTTATTTTTTGTTATTACATGACGCATACAAATTTTAAAATAAATATAAACCTTTCTATATAAGGATTTTTTATTATTACAAGTAATAATAAATCTACGGATGTAACAGAAATTATTGTTATAATTCATAACATTTATTATTAAAACGGTGATGGAGCGGGAACGGGACCGGCGGCAAAGTTGGTGCATCGGCCAAGCATTGACGTCTCGTTAACACAACCTGTACCTTGACATTGGTGGTAGGCTGCTTCGGACTGATTGTATTGATATTGAACTAGTTTCGTGGATCATTAAATTTGAGCGCAGTTATTGGATCTAAATTTTAAGCCTTTTAGGTTAAGAGGAATATCTGTTCTCTTTTATAGTCATCAGAAAATGAAACTGTTCACAATATACTTGTGTGCATTGCGGCAGTCAACTATAGGAACACTTCTACATTTAAAAAAGGACTACACGGTATGCCAGCTAGTTTCGTACACATGTGCAGCTTTGATTGGGACAGGTTTTGCAGTTGCAGCCGTCTAATAGATCACTTGGGCAAAGCTGGAAATCAAATTTTGACCAAAAACCAACAAATAAGAGTAACCACCATCACTGTATCCAAATTTTAAAGGATTGAGTTGAAAAACGTGTTCTTCCAGGCAAATGGATTTGGATGTATGTACAATAAATAGCACGTAAGGTATGCTGTCTAGTAGCTCTACTAGACAGAATTTCTTCACGAGCAACGGATGCAGTTCTTTAAGAGTATTCGTTGTACAGTGACAGTACAACAGACTCCAGTACAGTGACAGTGATCCAGTGTCTTAGATCATTCATAGTTAGATCATTCATAGCTTCACACTGACGATCCTTTTTTTAATGTGAACTAAATACTTCTCAGTGTTTTTCAAACTTTTTCTATCCCTTCCTCCCAATCTTTTCCAAAGTCCATTAGCAAAGTACTTGGATTACATTTTAGGGTAGCACGCTTTGTTCCAAATTTGCTGGCAAAGTCACAGCCAGTTAAAATATGGAGTGTTGGGAGAACTGAGCAAAGGTTACTTCCAAGCCTGTTTGCTATAATGTGAACTAGTACATATCATGAAGTTCTGACTGAACCAAGTCGCATCCACAATTCCTGCAAACCTTCCGAAAAGAATCCATTCATAAAATGTAAAGCCAACATTACGACATCCTGTATCCGAAGACAAAACTACGACTTAATTTGATAACTCGAGCAAAAATGATCCAATTTTAATTAAATTTATCACAAACGTGTAAACCTTTGTTTTCAGATGAGTTTGGACTATTAAACCAGCACGATCGGACTATGGGAACGGGGGTTTATAGGGAGTT